CATTTTAACTATCAAATTTTCTTGTTTTAATTAAAAATTAACAATTATTAAAAAAGAAAACAGGCAGTTTTTTAAGAAAAAAAAATTGAAAATAATTTTTATTGCAGTGCAGTGATGTAAAAATAGGTAGAGTAAAAGTTTCCACCATCTCTAATAATCTGCCTATTTACTGTTGCTTAATGGTGAGATTACAGAACGTCTGCAACTTTGCAGATCTGCAAATATGGCGGCAACTTTGAAAATCTGCAAATATGACTGACTTACACATGCAAGTATCAAGTTTTCGTATTCCAAATATGGGTTTAGTATTGTTGGGGGTAATAAACCACAATAAATATTGGGAATTTGCAGATATTTTTTGAAATACTTACATTTGTAAGTCCGCCATATTTGCAAAGTTGCAGATACAAAGTTGCAGACGTTCTGTAATCTCACCCTAAAACTTTATTTTTCTTCCAGATGAGTCAAATTCAAAACATTATTGTCTTTGATAACGTTTGTGATTATTGTCATAAATCTTTATCAGTAACACCAGTCAAAGTATATCCAAACAGAAGAATAAAATGTGGTAGATGTTCAAAGTGCAACAATGAAGAAGAAGACAATGGCGTAGATTCCATGTACAACCAAATTGCTTCAAGAATTTTTTTCGATTGCATTAACAAGTTTGATGGCTGTACACAATTTCTTCAATCGTGTGAAGTAGTTGAACACGAAAAAATATGTTTATCCAAAATGTGCACCTGTCCTATTTGTTTGGAAGAAATGTTTACCTTTTTAATGATTCGTCACTTTAAACTAAATCATCGCGGATCCTTATTAGAAAAACCTCATTTTCAAGTGACTGACTTAAAAAATATAGAAAAAACATTTTTGTACCAATTAGAATCTGATTTGCTTTTCGTAAATTTCCGTGATGTATCTGATTCGTCTGCGGATGATTTGAGACAGTTTTCATTAAACTTTTTATTATATTTGGGTAAAAACGATAACATTAAAAATTTCAAAGTAGATTTCTTTGAAAAAAATACTTACATTTTAGATAAAACTATTGACACAAGTGGGAGTACATCTGTTACATATAATATAACTTTAAATATTACACATGAGTCTAAGTTGCTGATAATGTTTCATTTAAATAATGCTGAGTCAAAAATTGCCCTCATCAATGTAAAGCAACACCAAATAAATAAATCTGAAGAAAAAGAAAATAATAATTTAAAATCATTACCTCAAAATAATTCTGATCCAAAAATAGTTCATAACAAAATGGGAGAATATTTGAAAACACTTTTGTTTCAAAAGCGTGATATTTTTGTAAGTGAAACATTTAAAAAGTCTGTTACAGATTTAGTGATTACTGACAAAACGACACTCTCATTTGCAAAATCAGGAAAAAAATTCACCATTACACTAGCTTGTTATGATTGCCCATTAATTAATTTTTCTTACAATTGGAATAAAGGCACATATAATTTGGTTGAAGATAATGGTCATTATTATATGAAATGTTTTGGATGCAATAATTATCGTAATACCAAAGACATAGTTATAAAAAATTATGTTGCAATAAACAATTTAGAACAGATTTTATTTTTTTGTATTTGGGGTTGTGGAAAACTTTGTTATTATTACGAGTTGTATATACATGAAAGATCTTGTATGAAACAAATTAACCAGAAATGTCCCATTGAATCATGTCTTTATAATAACAAACTATATGCAATTGAAGAGCATGTTGCAAAGGAACATCAATTAGTAATTTGCCAATCAATCAGTTCATACCGGACAATGGTTGCTGTAAATTTAGATATTTCTAATTCTGTCATAGAACATATTATATTAGTATGGTGTGTATGCGTTATTATTAAATTTAAATGGGAACAACCAAATTGGACAATCAGTTTCACTTGTGAAATACCAGGTATAGAAATAAAAGTTGGAATATTTGATTGTAATGAGAAAGAAATAACCACAATAATTGAAAGTGGTTCAATTCCACACTATGATTCCATATACGTACATTATTTACGTTGTAACAAGTTACTAAAAAATACAAATATTGAATGACCTAATTATATTTTTGACCCTTTTTAAATGTTTAATAATATATATCCCATCCAAAATGATTGTGAATATCGAGAAGCAGTTTTCACTCGACGGAATTGTATGTATTTTTTTGTTTTTTTTTATTTTTTTGTTTTTTAATACAACATAATTCCGACGATACCGAAAATTAACGTACCCCTTTTCACATATAGCACAAAATTTTTTTTTTTTTTTTTTTTTTCAAGTAGAACGCCCTAAATATTTTTGAACGGTCCTAAACTGCTTGTTTTCCCTTATGTTATTTTTTTAATTTTTTGATTAGTTAAATCGTTGAATCAATTAAAATAATAAATTTCCCAAATCAAATTTATGCATTTTATTATTTATGGGTTGATGTTTTCTCCTTTTTGTTCTCTATTCTTATTACTTCCTTTTTCTATGTGTTGTTTATTTATGGATCTTGTGGTATTTCTTCCGTTTTTCTCTATGCAGTATTCCATTTCCTTTGTTTCCTCAACTCTTTATTTCTAATTTATGTTCATTTTATCGCATTTCAAAATGTTTTGTTTGTTTAACATTTCTAGCACTTAATATTTTATATTTTCTTTATTAGTTTTATTGCCTTTTGGTTTGGTGTGCGACTTGACAAATATATTCAAAAATATAAACATGGTGTTCAATTTGGAATATCAAAATTACCGTATCTACGAAAATGGGTATTTTAATGTTCGGAAAATATTTTATATAACGGTTTTTCACTAGTATTTTTTTATTTTTTTAAATATGTAAACTTATGAATTTGTTTAATTTGAATAATTAGGTATAATTAAAGCATTTGATATATTATGTATATTTTATTTTTATTAATAGAACCTTTACTACCTATATCGCTTATCGATTTGTACTTCCCAATAAATCAGGAGCGTAGCCACGGGGGATTTTTGGGGATATACCCAGGTGGTGATCAGAAAGTATATGATTAAAATGGACTTACAGATATTAAAATAATTGCAAGCTCTAAAAATATATGCATTGTTTCTTGATTTCAAATTCCAACCCTCTTTTAAATTTTTTGGCTACGCTACTGCAGTAAACATGTACATTATACAATAAAAATAAGATAGGATATATTACGCAGATTGATAGACAACTAGTATCACGTCTGTGTATACCGTGTTGCTTATAGCTTAGTTCATAAATAGTTATATACCAGCTTATAAGCCCCCACAACAAATTTATAAATATTAACATATTTTTCAGTCTTAATAAAAAATAACAAAAAAATGGATCGGCTAATGGACAAAGTCTCTGGTTAAAAAATCCAATCTCTATGAGAAATTATTTAGGAAAATGAAAATATTGGACCTGGCAACACTGGTTATTTGTTGTTTTCCAAATGCGATTTATAATTTTATTTTTATAAGCAAAGGGAGTATTTTATTACAATTATTCCTACAAGAAGCAAGTTATCTCTAACTGGCAGAACTAGGTTGTCTTGTAAATTGTGAATAAGCTATTTTACCGTCTACTATTCATGGTTTAAACGTTTTTACTAGGATCTAAGGTAAGTCACAAAATAGATTTGAAAGCTCGCTATTTAGATACGTCGAAATTTGTAACACTAAAAAGTATATTCACCATTCTATTTAGTGTATTTAAAACAAAAATTGATCGAAAGTTGAAAGATTTTGATAGTTCTAACCTAACATTTTATCATTTTTATCAATGATGTGAAAGTTATATACTATAGATTGCTCACCTATTTGTAAATAAAAACTATAAAAAGCAGATCACATGCGCGCTCTGTTTTATTGCCGTTCCAAGTGCTCACTGAACAGAACCGTTCTGGCCCATATGTGTTTTAAAATAAAATTACATTTGAATATTTCGAAAAAAAAGAATTAGTTAAGTATTTTAATTTTACTTCAAGACATGATGTTATGTATTTAAAAAAAAACTTTTTTTGTGTTGTTTCCATATTTATAGTCGAATAATATTAATATAGAACTAAACAAATTTTACAACAGATATATGTAAATGATCACTCTCATTTCAAAGGTATGAAACACATAATTTCAATATGATATACAACCTTGAAAAGTTATTCTTTTATTTAGCAAAACTAATAGCACATTACAATTAAAGAAAATTACACAAAAAAATATCTATATCTAAAACATAAAATACAGCACTTTAAACCATATAATATCTTATAATTTCTTAATGTATATTTAAAGGTATTAAATGAGGTGACATTTCTGAGTTCTAAGGCTAACTCATTAAAAGCTGTAGTACCTTAAAAAATACTGAATTTTTGCACTGTTTATTTGCAACTTGCAGAATGTAAAAATTTGATCTATTTCTTGTGTCACAGTTGTGATAATCAAAGTTGTAATTGATTTTATCAAGCAAATAAAAGGGAACCAGTCCATGTTTAATTTTATAAATGAATGTTAAATTAAGTAGAGAAAATAGTTTTTAACAGAAAGCCATTGTAAATTTTGTTACATAATATCTTAGTCCTTTTATCATATGACAATAATATCCTCATTGCTTTATTTTTAATTTCTAAAGTCTGTTGGTTTTATTATGATTAAGTAAATATATAATGGTGGCACAATAAGTGATATAAGGCAAAATTATAGGTACTATTATATAAAAGAATCAATGACCATTTATTAAGATATTTTGAGTTGATTTTATACTATATAATTTGTATGATTTTTAAAAAAGAATAGACATATGATTCACTACTATTCCCAGGTATTTAATTTTTTTACAACTTTGACTGAAAACGCCCAAAGTTTCACTTAATTTGCTTAAGTCATAAGTTTCTTGAAACTCATTTCTCCAGTCTGTCATGTTTTTACCCTTTGTCCTAAAATAATTCTAACATTGTTCTGTCCTTTTACTGCGTTACTTAGAAGTTTTATTATTCATTTTTATTTTAGATGAGCCATTTACAATACGTTATCTCTGATAGTGTATGTGATTACTGTCATAAATTCTTGTCAGTAACTCCAGTCAAAGTATATCCAAATAGGAGAATAAAATGTGGCAGATGTTCAACAAGCAACGATGAAGAAGAGGACGTTGGTGTAGATTCTATGTATAATAAAATTGCTACAAGTATTTTTTTCGAGTGTATTAACAAGTTTGATGGCTGTACACAATTATTACAGTCATCGGAAGTAGTTGAACACGAAAAAATGTGTCTATCCAAAATGTGGACCTGTCCTATTTGTCTGGAAGAAATATTTACTTTTTTAATAATTCGTCATTTTAAATTAAATCACCCCGAATCCGTATTAGAAAACCGTCATTTTCAAATAACTGACTTAAAGAATATAGAAAAAACATTTGTGTACCAATTAGAATCTGATTTGCTTCTCGTGAACTTTCGTGATGTATCTGACTCCTTTGCGGATGATTTGAGGCGTTTTTCATTAAATGTTCGATTACATTTGGGAAAAAAAGATTATCTTAAAAATTTTAAAGTAGATTTCTTCGAAAAAAATATTGACATTTTAGATAAATCTATTATCACAAGTGGGAGTACATCTGCAACATGTAATATACATTTAAATATTATAAGTGGGTCAAAGTTGCTGGTAATGTTTCATTTAAATTGTGTAGAATCAAAAAGAGCTGTAGTCAATGTAATACAACAGAAAATAAATAAAACAGCAGAAAGTAATATTGTGAAATCTCTACCACAAAGTATTTCTGATTCAAAAATATTTTATAAACAGTTGGGAGAATATTTAAAAACACTTTTATTCCAGAAGCGTGATATTTTTCCAAATGACAAATTTAAAGAATCCGTTTCCGATTTAGAGATTACTGAAAAAGCGACACTTTCATATACAAAATCTGGTGAAAAAGTCACCATTACATTTGCTTGTTGTGTATGTTCGTTAATTTATCCTACTGTATTTGAAGACAATTTAAAATATATATATTTGGTAGGAAATAATCATAATCATTATTATATCATTTGTTTTGCATGCTTTGATAGCAAAAAATTAGCTTTAAAGAAAGATTTTACTATGGATGAATTGAAAAACATTTTGTTTTATTGTATCTGGGGTTGTGGAACACGTTGTATTTATGACAAGTTGTATATCCACGAAAGAAATTGTATAAAACAAATTTGCCAGAAATGTCCCATTAAATCTTGTTTTTATTATTTAAAACTACACGAAATTGCAGATCACGTTAAAAACGACCATTCATTAGTAATTTCCCAATCAATCAATTTATATAAATCTTGGATTCCTGTAAGTTTAGATACTTCCAAACCTATCATAGAGCATATTATGCTAGTCTGTTGTGTATGCATTCTTGTTAAATTTAAATGGGAACAACCAAATTGGGCTGTCGATTTAACCAGTGAAATACCAGGTATAGAAATATTACTTAGAATATATGATAATAATGAAAAAGAAATATCAATTAAAAATGGTTCATTTCCACACAGTGATGAGATTCAAGTACATCTACGTTGTTTAATTACTGAAAAAGAAAATTAAAAATAAGTATTAAACAATAATCAAATTTTAAATGCGATATATGTATTTCCAAAACTATTGGAGATAATAAGATGTGGATTTCACACGTCAATTTTGTTTTTTTTTTTTGTTTTTCTAGTTCTTTTAGCATAATTTATTCACGATGATACTGGAAATTAACCTACCCTATTTCAATTAGGGTCGGTCTTTTCACCTTCAGATAAAGGTAATTTTTATCTTCCAGATAACTAGAATCATCTTTTTACTTCTGAATAAAACTAACCTCTGAAAAATAACTTATCTTATACCTATGAAATTCCCGATAAAGAACTTAACTAATGGATAAACGCGTAGCTACATGACCACATAACGTTAAAAAATACCAGATACTTATCCTACAGATTATTTATTTTGAAAATACGAAACTTAATTATCTGTCAGATAGTAACGCTCAAATAATATATCCATTAGTTAGTTATCTGACGGTGAAAAGACCTATTTTTAGAGTCGGTCTTTTCACCTTCAGATAAAGTGCCAGGTAATTTGTATCTCCCAAGTAACTTAAAAAGTAATAACCTTTTCACTTCTGAATAAACCTAACTTCTGAATGATAACTTATCTTACTTATGAAATTCCTGATAAAATACTTCACTGATGGATAAACAGGTAGCTTCATAACCACATAAGGTTAATAACTACTGGATACTTACCATACATATTATTTACTTGAAAAAACAGAAAATTAATTATCTGACAGATAGTAGATAATATATCCGTCAGTTAGTTATCTGGAACTTTATCTGAAGGTGAAAAGACCGACCCTGAGTACAATTTTTTTAATTGAAACATCCTAAATATTTTTGTTAGTACTATTGATAATGCTTTTCTCTAAAATTGTCTTATTTTTATATTCTTGAATCAACTAAGTATATAAATACCATTTATGGATTGTTAGATTTTTCCTCAAATCTTCAGGTAAATAAATTATAAATTTTCTAATGCCAGTTTACTCCTTTTTTTTATTTATTTTAGTATTTATGGGCTTACATTATTATCTTCTCAATTTTCTCTTCCCATTCTTATATTACTTCCTCTCCCTTTTTATGTTGCTTTATTTCTGTATCAAACGTTTCTTCCATTTTTTGTAGTTAGTTTTTTCTTCACTTAATTTAAATGTATTTTTCGTAGTAATGTTCTTCCCGAGGCTCATCTTACCATATTTGTAGTATTTTGTTTTATATCTTTTAAAGCTTTTATTTCTCTTATTTAATATCTATATTTCATTATTATTCATTTGTTTTCTATATTTACAATTAGTTTTACTTTGATTTCCATATTTTTCTTTATTACTTATTTCTTTTTGGTTTTGAATAATATTTTTCAGGATTATATTTTTTTCTTATGTTTTTGGACATAAAAAGAATATACAAATATTCAATTTAGAATAATAAAATTGCTGTATAGGCCAAAATGAGTATGTATACACACATTTCATTAGACAAAACATTTTGTAAGTATAACGATATTTTTTACTACTTTCTTTTAAGTGTTTTCCTTTCAGTTTATTTTGTGATTATAATTGCGTTTAAAAATATTATAGTTTCCTTATTTTTTTTATTTATGTAAACCAGAATGTTTAATTTAAAATTAGTTTATTAAAGCATTTGTTATTATTGTTATATTATTTTTATTAAAAAGAATCTTCATTCCCAATCAATTTTTTCTCGAGTTTTCAACGATTCTGTACGTTTTGGGAAAATCTGATGGTATAAAAACAAACACTACTCAAGAAGATCAATTTCTTTGTCCACTTCTGAAAACATTGGTAAGATATTTGCAAGCATAATGCTGTGGCGTTTCCATACCTTATAACTCCACAGTAGTAGCATAGACAACTAGTATCACGTCTGTGTATATCGGGTTGCCTATAGTGTAAGTTTAGTTTATAAATTTATAAATATTATTAACATATTTCTCAGTCTTAATAAAAAATAAAAAAAAAATAGATCTGCCAACTAATGGACAAAGTCCCTGGTCAAAAAATCTAATCTTAACAATTATTGAAAAATTATCTAGGGAAATGAAAATATTGGACCTGGCAAAGTGGCAACACTGGTTATTTGTTGTTTTCAATGTTTTCATTTATATTTTTATTTGTATGTTTATAAGCAAAGGGAGTATTTTATTACATTTATTCTTCCTAAAAGAAGCAAGTTATCTCTAACTGGCAGAACTAGGTTGCCTTGTGAATTAGCTATTTTACCGTCTTACTATTCATGGTTTAACAGTTTTTACTAGAATCTAAGGTAAGTCAAAAAATAGATTTGAAAGCTTGCTATTTAGATACGTCGGAATTTGTAACACTAAAAAGTATATTCACCATTCTATTTAGTATAGGTATTTAAAACAAAAATTGATGGAAAGTTCAAAGATTTTGATGTTTCTAACCTAACCTAATGCGCCATGTTCCAAGTGCTCACTGAACAGAACCGTTCTGGCCCAAATGTGTTTTAAAATAAAATTGCATTTAAATATTTCGAAAAAAAAAAAAGAATTAGTTCAATATTTTAATTTTTACTTCAAATCATAATATTATGTTATGTATTAAAAAAAAAAAAACTTTTTTTGGGTTGTTTCCATATTTATAGTTGAATAATATTGTTAGAAACGAAGGAGGTATAAATATTAATTAAAACTAAAAATCTAAATATGAGTAAACACCACTATAATCGTATGAATATTGAATACAAAAACACAAGTAATGACGTAGCGAGTGGCCAGTAATTCTGCGCAGAGAGATCGACCACATAGATTGTACTTTTCAGAATTATATGTGAAACACCAACATGATGCAGACGAAAAGCCCAGGTATTCACGCATCGTCATCAATACGTGCTTATCTCCCTGCCCAGAGGCGACTCTAGGTAATATTGTTAACAATATTAATACAGAACTAAACAATTTTTACAACAGATATATGTAAATGATCACTCTCATTTCAGAGGTATGAAACATAATGTCAACCTGTTATACAACTTTGAAAAGTTATTCCTTTATTTAACAAAACTAATAGCACATTACAATTAAATAAACTTACAAAAAATAACTATATTCAAAACATAAAATATAGCACTAAACCCTAAAATATCACAGAGCTGGCTCATTAACTTATAATCTCTAAATTTATATTTAAAGGTATTAAATATGGCTACATTTCTGAGTTCTAATGGTAACTCATTAAAAGCTTGAAGTCCCCTAAAAAATATTGAATTTTGGTACTGCTTACTTGTAACTTGCAGTATATGAAAATTTGATGTAATTCTTGCAATACAGTTATGACAATCAAAGTTGTAATTGATTTTATCAAACAAATAAAAGGGAACCAGTCCATCTTTAATTCTATAAATGAATGTTAAGTAGACAAAATAGTTTTTAACAGAAATTCAGTATAAATTTTGTAATATATATAATATATTTGTCCTTTTATCATATAACAATAATATCCTCATTGCTCTATTTTCAATTTCTAAGGTTTGTTGGTTTTATTCTGATTAAGTAAATACATAATGGTGGCACAATAAGTGAAATAAGGCAAAATTATAGGTCCTATTATATAAAAGAATCAATGACCATTTATTAGGATATTTTGAGTTGATTTTATACTATATAATTTGTATGATTTTTAAAAAAGGACAGACATATGATTTACTACTATTGCCGGGTATTTAATTTGTTTTACAACTTTTACTGAAAACGCCTAAAGTTTCACGTAATTTGCTTCAGTCATAAGTTTCTTGAAACTCATTTCTCCAGTCTGTCCTAAAATAATTCTAATATTGTTCTGTCCTTTTACTTCGTTACTTAGAAGTTTTATTATTCATTTTTATTTTAGATGAGCCATTTACAATACGTTATCTCTGATGGTGTATGTGATTACTGTCATAAATTCTTGTCAGTAACTCCAGTCAAAGTATATCCAAACAGGAGAATAAAATGTGGCAGATGTTCAACAAGCAATGATGAAGAAGAGGACGTTGGTGTAGATTCTATGTATAATAAAATTGCTACAAGTATTTTTTTTGAATGTATTAACAAGTTTGATGGCTGTACACAATTATTACAGTCATCGGAAGTAGTTGAACACGAAAGAATGTGTCTATCCAAAATGTGGACCTGTCCTATTTGTCTGGAAGAAATGTTTACATTTTTAATAATTCGCCATTTTAAAGTAAATCATCCTGAATCCGTATTAGAAAACCGATATTTTCAAGTAACTGACTTAAAGAATATAGAAAAAACATTTTTGTACCAATTAGAATCTGATTTGCTTTTCGTAAACTTCCGTGATGAATCTGATTTGTTTGCGGATGATTTGAGGCGTTTTTCATTAAACGTTCTATTACATTTGGGAAAAAAAGATTACATTCAAAATATAAAAGTAGATTTTTTCTTATTCGAGAAAAATAATAACATTTTAGATAAAACTTTTTATACAAGTGGGAGCAAATCAGTTACATATAATATAAAGTTAAATATTACATGTGAATCTAAGTTGCTAGTAATGCTTCATTTAAATAGTGTTGAATTAAAAAGTTCTGTAGTCAATGTAATAAAACACAAAATAAATAAAATAGAAGAAAATAATAATTCTGATTCAAAGATATGTGAGCAGAGAGACTATTTAAAAAGACTTTTATTTCAAAGGCGTGATATTTTTCCAAATGACAAATTTAAAGAATCCGTTTCAAATTTAGCGATTACTGAAAAAGCAACACTTTCATATACAAAATCAGGTGAAAAAATCACTATTACATTTGCTTGTTGTAGTTGTTCGTTAATTCAACCTGCTTATTTTAGTATTACAAATAATATATATTTAATTGGAAATCATGATCATTATTATATGAACTGTTATAAATGTGTTAACAGAAAAACAATCGTTTTAAAAAACGATTTTACAAAAGACGAATTAAAAGGCATTATGTTTTTTTGCATCTGGAGTTGCGGAATATTTTGTGATTATACCAAGTTGTATATACATGAAAGAAATTGTATAAAACAAATGTACCAAAAATGTCCCATTAAATCATGTTTTTGTTATTTCAAACTATACGAAATTGAAGATCATGTTAAAAAGGAACATCCATTAGTAATTTCCCCATCAGTCAATTTGTATAAGGATTTGATTCCCGTAAATTTAGATACTTCTAAATCTGCCATAGAGCATATTATGTTAGTATGGTATGTATGTGTTCTTGTTAAATTTAAATGGGAACAACCAAATTGGTCCATCAGTTTAACTTGTGAAATACCAGGTATAAAAATGCAAGCTAAAGTATGTGATAAGAATAAAGAATTAATATCTACAATAATTGAAAATGGTTCAATTCCTTACCATGACAAAATACACATACAACTACGTTGTTTAAATAACGAAAATGAAATTAATGCTGAATAAAATTTATCTTTACGCGAAAATAGAAATGTTAATATCTTTTTGATTATTTATTTGGCCTTTACTTGATGAAAATCCATATTTGTAAAATGAGAAAAACCAAACTTTTTCACGAACATTTTTATCAAAAAAATAAAAATTACTCATTGGAATTGTTTCGAAGTACCTACAACTTCTTCAATTGAAGAAAAAAAAATTTCCAAGTTTGGTTTTTCTCATTTTAATGCTAATATCTGATAAAAATATTTTGCATTTAGGCGAAAGACACTTTGTAAACAATATTTTACACTAATTTATTTTTGAATTTGTAAACTTCAATGTATTTTATATTTTTTTAATTTTAACAACTAGGTATTCAAAAATTATGTTGTTTAAAGTGTTTCCATCGCTATATTTTTATGTATTTCGTACGCAATATTCAAAGTGGCACTTAATTTAATTAAAATTTAAGTATTGTAAAGATATTAATGTCCAGAATAATAATATTATTGGTATATTCATCGTTAAGTTGTTTTTAAAGTATAAACAGTTAAGAAAAATATGTTATTTTTAATTTAAAGTTTTTATTGGTTTGTAAACAATAATAAAGAGTTAAGCAATTATATTTTTTAATAATTTAACTCACATAATTCATAATTCTAATTACGATAGTTTCATTTTCATTAAATGATTAAAAATTAAAAAGCAGTACCTTTTTTGTAAATAGTACAGTATCTTTTTAATGATGTTCTGTTTACAGTGTTGCCATTGATAGGGAAATATCTCTAAATTTGGGGAAATCTGCAATCGGTAAGGAAAAAAGGACATTTTCTATAATTTAGAGAATTTTTATACTTCTATGATTTTATCATATTTGTAAAATATATATTAAGCAATCGCTTAAGAAATTATTAGGAAACTGTTTATCTTTGGCAAAAACGCTATTTATCCTAAGTCCAATTTACTATTAGCAGCTCAGACAGGTCGAATTTACTATAAACTACTCTTAAAACATTAACAAAGAGAAATTTAGTAAGTAAAATCCCACTATTCCCAAATCTCGGAGGTATTTTACCGGGAATGGTGGTCTTTTTATACATAGTGTAGTAGCATATACAACTAGTATCACGTCTGTGTATATCGTGTTGTCTATAGCTTAGTTTATGATTAGTTATACGAGTTATATACGCCTTGTTTACATAAACAATTGTCGTATGATAATAAGGTCCATAATCGCATGCACAACAAACGATGGTACCAGCCTGAGGTTGTCCAGTGTCTGTTTCGGTTAAACGTATAAACAGACAACAATAATGGGTCCTATGATTGAACGTTTAAGTTATTCGTAACGTACATGTTAGGCCGAGTTTTAACAGTACTGAGGCAAGTTCGTATGATGGAAAACTTTTTCCAATACTTTACTGTTATTTTCCGCCTGTTATGTTCTAATTTAACAGTTTTCCATCATACGAACTTGCCTCGTTACTGTTAAAATTCGACCTAACATGTACGTTACGGATAACATAAACGTGCATAGGACCCAATATTATAGAGAAAGTAAAAGTTGAAAAGTCTTTTGGTAGGTAGAGAGGGGGTAAACGTCAAACCACGTCGGGCGGCTCCGAGAATTTCACAGTAATGTTTACCTGCCAGTGTCGTTCCATAGAATAAGTAATTTTAAATTGTTATCGGCGAAACCGGACAATCGCATGTATTTATGGATTATAAATAATTATTAAACATGTATTATAATATTCAAATTATAATTTTACAAAATTTCAACAGCTATTCACAATTTATTAAACTATTTACTCGAAATTGTTATTAACATCTATAAAATAATTTTGTACGCCAATGTATCGCGTCCACTTCGGTAAGATCCGCTGCCAACCTGTCAATTTATGTGTATGAAGTGGGAGAACTGGCAAAAGCATTTCCAACTTTTACTTCTGTTCTAGTTCCCAATGTTTGAATGTTCAAGATACATATTTAATATGGAGCTCAATATTTAATAGTTCATTCAAGAATCTGGATCATATCCATAAAATTTCTTATTTATTTTTTTTCTGCATTGAATCGGTGTTTAAATTAGATGTTTTTGGATTTTGTTCATTAGGATACATCCACAAAGCATGTATCTTCTAGAGACCCCACGCCAATGTTAAACTTTTAAACCAAATTAGCGCCACCTTGTGTTTGGAGCTGGAACTAAAATGACAATTGACAGATGGCGGTAAATTCAAATTGTAACTTTTAGGAGTAGGTAGTAGTTTTAAATTAAATTTTAAATGATTTCCACATAAATTATTTTATAAAATAAAGTATGGAACTAGTAAGTTCGAAACTTTTATTTTACAAAATAATTTAGGTCGATTATACCAAATTTGAAGAATTAATTTGTTATAAGGGGTCTATTGTGGAGAGTTTGTTCTGCATATTTTTATTAAATAAATATAAGATATATCAATAAATAATAAAATAGAACATTCTTAAAATATGTTTATTAATAAATTAAATAAATATTATTAGATAAAAATAAATACAAATAATAATACATATTTAACGAATACTTACTTGGAGCAAATAGATATATATTCTCAAATCTTTAAAATACCTATCAATAATGTAAATGTGAATAAGTAGAGACTAGGATATTACATTTTATTAACACTAAAGTTATATATTTTATAAATGTCTTTTTAACTGAGGACAAATGTAATATAGGTATTGTATTAAAAGGTGAATCCTTTTAACTATTCATTCAATGATAAATAGGTATTTTCCTTCCAAATACAGATGGTGATACAGATTTCGGAATCTAGTCCAGTGATAAATTGATTATCAATTAATTGTTGTCCCCGTTTGTCTTTTTATGATGCAGATGCATGGTGAATATATGGTGAATCAATGAAGTTTTTCTCGAAGTTTTCAACGTAGGACCAAAATTATTGCAAAACACAGTAGGAAATAAAAAAGCGAAACATCACAATTTTGCAAATAACCAAGACGAAACTATAAACAGAAACCAAAAGCCAAAGCCAACAAAAAATCACTAAAATCAGACCGAAAAATGAAACTAACCAAGAACATAAATAAATACACGTCACATCTTTGGAGTCTTTGGTTAAGTTTTTCTCCCATAAGGCTTAAAAATGGAGTAAGAAATCATAATTTCACCAGTAGCCCCATCTAGAGTTTGGAGCAAATAGCATAAAAAATGTCAGTTGTCGGTTTTGACCTTGGTCATTCACATGGAACCTCTATGTGCTTTGTGGATACATCGGTTTAAGGTGGAATCGACCCAACTGATTGCTTGATTGCTCATCTAGCTATAGAAGGTCTTTGAGCATTCGGATAAACGTCACTGTCAATGCCATTACTGTCAATGTCAGTTTGACATTTTTAAATCGTACACGTATTTGTGGTAAATTATAACTAGTTTAAAAATTATTTTAAAATAATTAAATAAAATGACTTCCTTGAGGCAAAAGCAAATAAGTAAGGATTTATTGTTCGTGTTCATGTTTATAAAAAAATCAAATTTCATTTTTTTACAGGCGCAATAAAGCAAATGTTGAATCTAAATCAACCTCAGACAAAGTTAACAGCCTCTGAGCCTGTATGGAAGATACTAATTTACGATAGAATAGGTCAGGATATTATTTCTCCATTAATTTCTGTGAAGGACTTACGAGAACAAGGAGTAACGTTGTTTGTGTAAGTTAAAATAAATCAGTAGACATACAATTTTTAAGATTATTTAATTGAGAATAATATGTATTAATTCGTTCATTTTTATAAATAAATACATAAATTGCTATTTATTTTTTAAAATTATGAAAGCGATACACAATGCATAGCCTAGGTAAGTTTTACGTACTATTTGAATTAGTCTATAATAATAATAATAATAATAATATTTATTTGGCTTTGAGACATACATATTTACAATATTTTAAAAAGGTTAAAAAATGTATAAACATATAAGACCTATTAGCCTTGTCAACACATACAATTTTAGAAAGTAAAGACATGCTACAATTGAGTTTAAAATCACCATTAATAAGCCCATACAGCATAATATCTAGAGGGATTATAGTAAAAACACAGAAGGTCATATAACATATCAGTAAACAATTTAAAATCTGATTTGGGTGGTCTATAGAGAGATATGACTAAAATGTCCTTATTTTTAAAGATAAATTTACAAACATTTATTTCAATAACTTTCCCAATAGTAAAATTGCAGTATACAGGTTCTATTGACTACTTTTTGCATAAATAGAGACTCCACCCCTTTGGTATTGTGTCCTATAATACTTAGTTATCAAAGAATAATCATTCTAAAATTATAATAAATAATTTTTATATGTACAGAGTAGATAGTGACTGCAGGTATACTGGAGGGGCCTTAATCTATATAAATAAACAAATAACAGTTTTGTCTTGTAAAAAAATTAGTGTCCAAAAAAAATATTGGGTGATAATGCTGAGATTTTATTTTGAAAACTGTATTCATTTAATTGTTAGTTTATACAGATCACCTAACAATATATGTTCAGACTTTTTTCAGATAGTTTTTTATGTGATAGTAGCTATAAAATAATTGTAATGGAAGATGTTAATATAGATTGGCTATCTGATAACTCAAATAGTTATAGACTAAGAAACTGTATTAGTGATATAAATTTTAGAAATGTAGTAACTCAAATTACCATCCTGCTAACTAATTGTTTAAATATAAGGACTGAAATTTGTCTCACTCCTAAAATAAGTACCCATTTTAATGTTGAGGTGTATAGAGATTTTCAACCAACTAATAATAAGAAGTCTCAAATAATAGAAAGTCGAGGTAGAGTAATTGATTTTGAAAAAATAAATTATAAGTTGTCTCAGGTCAATTGGAATTATACTATCAATATTAATGAGAGATATATTAACTTCTACCATAATTTAATGACAGTATTTGATGAGGTGGCACCAAAAAGACCTTTATAAAGACTGGTGGAATCAGGAAGTCAGAAATGCTATCAGGAATAAGGATGATAGTTATAAAAGTTATGTATCTAACAAAACTGAAGAAAATAGGCAAATATACAAACAAAATTGAAACATAGCAGTTAGAGTTATTAGAAAAGAAGAAAGTAAATATTATGAATGATAAATAAGTGAAAATAAACAAAATTTTGGAAAGTTATGAATGATCTTTTGCCTAAAAATAAACAAAATAGCTTAAATGATAATCTAATAATAAAAGATATAATTAAGATCCCAATGCCCTTAACAACTTTTATATTGATAGTAAAAATCTGATGTGTCCAACACATGACTTTCCTATCTAGTTATTATAGGATTTTCTGGTTATTTTGTACAACCTATTGCAGCACCTCTATAAATGTTTAGAGGATAAACTAAATATATTCATTTTCCACATACATATAACTCGAAACATTTTTCTATAGATATTCATTGAAAACGAAAATACTGAAAAAGTTGAATTTAGCACTTTTCCATTACGGTCCATTTTAGAAAAATCATGTATAAACAAAAATTATAGAGATCAATATCGCAAACAACTTTTAGTTCAACAATTTTCATAAAAATCAGAATTTTGCACATTTTGTCAAATTTCTCGAATACGGACCATTTTAGGAAAATTTTGTATAGAACAAAAATTATAGATAATAATATTAGAAGTAACTTTTATTTGAACAATTTTCTTCTTCAAACATAAATAACAGATATATTCCATAAAATATAAAAACGGCCTCCCATAAAGTACCCCCCCAGATATTTCGACTTTGTCCAAAATCTAATCATTTCACGTTAGGCTAAAATAAAACTTAAGTTTAAAATTTAATGTTTTTTTCTTTATCCGTTTTTGAGTTTTCTTCAAAATTCGAAATTTACACATTTTCTTAAATATCTCGAATACGGTACATTTTAGAGAAATTAGGTATAGAATAAAAATTATAGAGAATTATATTACAAACAACTTTTATTTAAACAATTTTTATAACAAAATATTTTTTTTACATTTTGTCAAATTTCTCGAATACGGACCATTTTAGAAAAATTTTGTATAGAACAAAAATTATAGATAATTATATTAGAAGTAACTTTTATTTAAAGAATTTTCTTCTGCAAACGTAAATAACAGATATATTCCATAAAATATAAAAATGACCACCTATAAAGTACCCCCCCAGATGTTCCGACTCTGCCCAAAATCTAATCAGTTCATTAGACGCTAGAATAAAGCTTAAGTTCAAAATTTGGTGTTTTTCTGTGTATCGGTTCATGAGTTATGCGACAGACAGACGCACGCACGCACTCACGTACGCACGCGCACACACACGCACGCACACACAGACACAGACATCATTGCGAAAATAGTCAAAACAGATTCAGGGGATCTCAAAACGTGAAAATCCGTCGAAAATTCGAGGTCGAAAAAAATCATGATTCCTATACTTTCCTTATATCTGTATACAGATAGGAAAGTAAAATAGTTATTTTCTTAACAAGTGCGGAAAGTGTTACTTTCCCGCACGCGACTGCAGTTGGCCCGAACGACGCGAAGCGGAGTTCGGGCAAGCGGTCAAGTGCGGGAAAGACACTTTACGCATGAGTTAGGAACATTATTTTTTCTACGACCGTATATACAAAAAAGTAGGAAAAATTATTTTTGGAAAATTATTTTATTTCAACATATACAAATCTTTAAATAAAAACAACTAATTATTATGGATATTAATGTTAAATACACAATTTGTAGCATTTTGTAAATTATGAAAAATTGCCGGTACAGAGGAATTAGTTGGTGTTAATTGGCTGTTAATAGTCGTAAATATTCATAATTTTACTTTCCCGCACTAGTGCGGGAAAGTGATTTTTTCCCGCACTAGTACGGGAAAGTGACACTTTCAAAACTAAAATGCGTGCGGGAAAGTGGGTAAAAATACACGGTCGTAGAAAAAAGAAATTATTTCTAATATAAATCGTAATAATAGAAATCTTCCTATAGCACTTAAGAATAATCATGTGTTTTTTAAGAAATTTAACTTTATTGACATTGATACAATGAGATAAATTATTTTTGACTTACCCAATAAAGGAAGTTCAGATGAAATAAATGCGTTATTTTTTAAAAAACTGTTTTGCACACATAGCGTTGCCATTGCTTAATATCATAAACACCTTCTTAGAAATAAATATAGTTCATACAGCCTTGAAAACTTCAGTTATCATACCAATCCCTAAAGTCTCAAATTCAAATAGAGCAGCAGACTTAAGACCGATTAATATGCTAAGTACATTAGAGAAAGTATTAGAAAAATTTGTTTATAATCAACTAATTCATCTTTAGAGGAAAATAATCTATTTAATAGTATACAGTCTGGTTTTCAAGGAAAGCATAGTTGTGAAACAGCAATACAATATAACCTAGATCACTTCAAGCACAATAAAAATAAAAAATTAATTACTGGTGCTCTATTTCTTGATTTACAAAAAGCATTCGAAACTGTAGATCCTACATTACTTATTAGTAAATTAGAAAGTTTTGGAATAGTTGATGATGCATTACAGTGGTTAATAAATTATTTAGATGGCAGAAAACAGAAGCTAAAGTTTAACAACATTACATCAGATGAAATCCAAAATGAACAAGGTGTCCCGCAAGGAAGTGTGTATTAGGACCATTATTGTTCCTCTTGTACATTGATGATATCGCACGTGTCGTAGGAAACTGTTACATTATCTTATTTTCAGATGATATTTTGTTTCAGACAATTTACATGAAATAATTGAAAATATAAATAACACACTAAAAGAAATATTTCAATAGGGCTGTTTTAATTCTTTAAAAATTAATAACAATAAAACTAAGTTGATGATTATAGGAAATGACAAAAACTATCAAGAATATAATATTAGTAACCTTAAAGTAAATATAGAAAATAGTAATATTGAAGTTGTTAAAAAATTTAAATATCTTGGTGTCATAGTTGACTATATGTTACTATTTAAAGAACATGCTAATTATGTTATTAAAACAATATAATTTAAAAAATCAGCTATTTATATAGATGCTCAAAACATCTTAACCAATGGTCTTTAAAGCTTCTTTATAATAGTTCAGCTAATGTTCTGAAAAACAACATAATATCTACTTTGTACATTTTTAAAATTGGTTCTAGCGCACTAATTTTTTTCTGTATACCTTGTATATTGAAATGCTTTAGTATGAAGTTTTTGTTACCATGATTTTTTGACAAATGTTCTTCATAATCTATATAAGCATAAATAATGATGAAATGAACAAATATTAATTTAAATTGCTCCATACATCCAAATACTGGTTACTAAAAAGTGTTTAGATCAGTGGTCGCCAACATGTCGATCGCGAGCTACCGTTAGCTCGCGGAGGCAATTCTGGTAGCTCTCACAACGATTTTAATTGCAAAAATCAGAGAAGCTTCCGAAAATTCCACAAAAAAATCTAATTGTCATAATATTAAACATAAACAGCGGCAACGTTGCGGTGAGCGATCTGCCGCTGACGCCATCAAGCTAGAATCGGCTAGAACCGACCAGCAGGACCAGCGCGTTAGTGTTCGAGAACGATCAGGATTGCTTTGAACGGGATAAATACGCACGGCGCGGCGACATTGCGCTTAGTTTAAAACTGAACGCGTAACCAACGTCCAGCGGTT